AGGGCGGGGGCGGGTCTGCCAGACCCCGCAGTGGGAGCGGGGGGGGCGGTGCCTCTGCTGACGGGGCGTTTTGTGTTTCAGGCGTGATTTACAGCAAGCTCCCGCCGCAGGCTGCCAAGCTGCTGGATCTCCAGGTACCGCTGCTTCCCCTGAGCCTGTGCGCATGGGGCTGTGCACCTGCGATTTTTGTGTATGGCTGGCGCTGGGCGTTAACAGTGTCTGTTTCGGATCAGTCATTTGGTCCAGATCTTGTGGTGCTGACGGGGCGTTTTGTGTTTCAGGCGTGATTTACAGCAAGCTCCCGCCGCAGGCTGCCAAGCTGCTGGATCTCCAGGTACCGCTGCTTCCCCTGAGCCTGTGCGCATGGGGCTGTGCACCTGCGATTTTTGTGTATGGCTGGCGCTGGGCGTTAACAGTGTCTGTTTCGGATCAGTCATTTGGTCCAGATCTTGTGGTTTACGGTATTTTTCCTCTCCTAAGAGAGGTTAATCAAGGCATCCTCACAGGGATCTGTAAAATTTGTATCTGCACCCGTATCCACAACGAGCTGTGGATATGCAGGGATAGAAAGCAGGATATCCAGAGATTTACAGGGCTCCAAAGATGGTCTTGGCATTGAGTTCTAGTCTTGGCATTTTGTCCAGAGTCATTCAGTAAGCACAAAATAGTTTCCACTTTGATTAGCAACTTATTCTCAGAGCTTCAGTGCTCCCAAGTTGATCTGTGCAGGCAAGACCCTGCACCTATGTGGAGTCTGGTTAGAGACAATGGACCTCAAATCAGGCCCTGGGCCCTAATTTTTTCTTACATTTACTGGGGGGGGAGGGAGTCATCCTGAATAATTATGCCTAATGATTTGAATGTCATTGGCTCTTCTCCTACCTGCTCTCTGAGAGTCAAATTTGGAGCCTCATAAACTTCATTGTGTTTTAGTGAATAATGCATCATGTTACAATGTTGGGTAAACTGGCCTGTCTTTTTTTCATAACAGCTGGTGGTGTATGTTTAAAGGAAACTTTCAGGAAATAACTTCTACATATCCCTGAAAGTAATGTTTTCTATTTGAAACAAGATTCTTAAAAATCTGTGGACACTTCAGGGGAGACACTTTTTTACTTTTCTTGCACAAATTATGGTCTTATCTGTATTTTACTTTTCATATTAGGACATTCCTATGAGAATGTTGGCTCTTAACAGAGAAAATTTGGAATTGTATAGCTAAATTTTTTAGTGGCATATGAACTCTTGCCTTTAAGTAATTTGTTTTAAGTCAGATTTGTCTGATTATTGATAGATGACTTATTTGTAGGGCCCTACTAATTTCATGGTCGATTTCGTGGTCACAGGATTTAAAAATTAGTACATTTCATTATTTCAAATATTTAAATCTGAAATTCTACAGTGTTGTAATTGTAGGGGTCCTGACCCAAAAAGTAGTTATGTGGGTGGGAGGGTCACAAAGTTATTGGAGGTTGAGGTTAAGTTATTGGAGGTGGAGGTATAATCACAGAATACTAGAACTGGAAGGGAACTCGAGAGGTTAAGTCCAGTTCCCTGCTCTCCTAGCAGGATCAAGCACCATCTGGATCACCTCTGACATATATCTGTCTAACCTGGTCTTAAATATCGCCAATGATAGAAATTCCACAACCTTCGTAGGCAATTTATTCCAGTGCTTAACCACCCTGACAGGAGGTGTGGTTTTTTTACTTCTATCCTTCCTTCTGCGCTGCTGTTGGTGTGGTGCTACCTTCAGAGGTGAACAGCTGGAGAAAGGTAGGTGCTGGCCAGGAGTCCAGCTCTGAAAGCAGAGCTGCCAGCAGCAATAGTGTAGAAGTAAGAATGGCAAAAGGTATTTTTGCCCTCACTGCTGCCTGCAGAGCTGGGACCTCAGACAGCAACCACCATTCTTTGGCCACCCAGCTCTGAAAGCGGCAGTGCACAAGTAAGGATGGCATGGTGCCCAGTCAATAGCTGCTGTTCTCCAGCCACCTAGCTCTGAAACTGGGAGCACAGAAATAAGGTTTGGTAATACCATTATGCCACACCCTGAAATATCCTTCCACGCCTCCTACAATTCCCTTTTGTATCAGGACCCCCAATTTGTGAAATGCTTGTCTTTCCTGTGAACTGTGTATCAGGGTAGGGCTGTTAAAATGAGTTTATTCACGTAAACGTGTAGCTGCTGAAATTTTCAACAATCATAGGTTATCATGCAGGGGGCCAGTCAGCTCCTGACTATCTTCCCCTCCACTGTGCTGCTGCCACTGTATCAGAGGATGCAGCATGGGCAGGGACAGGCAGCTCCATGTGAGCTGGTATGTGCAAGGTAGCCAGCTTCAGAGCCAGCTCCCCACACTTGCTGGCTTCCGCCTCCGTCCATCCCCTCTTCCGTGCATTGCTGCTTCTGTATCAGAGGCAGAAGCTTGGCAGTTGGGCTGTTGTAACCATCCACTTTAACCAATGAGCCCGGGCTCATCAGTTAACTGTGTAAACAGCTACACTTTCACATCCCTAGTTCAGGGTAGGGTAAAAGCACACTAAAGACCAGATTGCATAGTCCATGATGCATTTTTCATAGCCATAAATTTGGTAGGGTCGTACATACTTGAACTGAGTAACTTCACTTCTGTAAGTTATCTAATGTCTCTGCAATAATTGTCTTATAACTAACAACTAATGAATAGATTTCCATGTCCCAAAAAATAGTCAGATAGCACTGATATGGCACCCTTTTAGCCTTTTCAGAGAAGAGAATGTTGGGATGGTTATGGGTCACTAAATTACTGCCCTAATTCTAGAATTGGTTCCCTAATTTAAGGATTTTGAAGCACTTTGGTGGGTCAGTGTGGAAATGTTTCTAGAATATTAGTTTTCTGCTGATATTAAAATTTAGTATGTATTTAATAGCAGTACCGACTACTGATGAGACAGCTAGTCAGTGATATTCTTAACTTCAACTTTTTTGTTTTGTTTTTGGAGCCTCAAGGATCAAAGGAGGCAGAAGCTTTTGTAAATGCTTTTCTGAAGCGTAGTATGCCACGACTGAAAGATGAAGCCATCCAGGATAAGCTAACCCGAAAAGCTGTAGTTCTAGAGCATTGTCCTAGAAGAAGGAAAAAGGAAAAACGGAAGAAAGCAAAAGGGTTTTCTGCCAAACAAAGGAGAGAAATGCGACTCTTTGAAATTAAACCAGAACAGCAAAAGTAAGAACTTCAAAGGCTTTCTTTCTGTAAGTTATCAGTAAAAGTTAAAAGCTTCTTAAAAGTAGTGTACAGGCAGTCCCCGGGTTACGTACAAGATAGGGACTGTAGGTTTGTTCTTAAGTTGAATCTGTATGTAAGTCGGAACTGGCGTCCAGATTCAGCCGTTGCTGAAACTGACCGCCAGTTCTGACTTACATACAGATTCAACTTAAGAACCCCAAGCTTCCCCAAGTCAGCTGCTGCTGAAACTGATGAGCGCTGATTCCAGGAAGCCTGGGGCAGAACAACTCTGCCTCGGGCTTCCTGTAGTCAGCGCTGGTCAGTTTCAGCAGCGGCTGA